TGATGGCCTCCGCAGCTGATGCGGCAAACCTAGAGCAAATGTACGAAATATTTGCCTACAAGATTGCAAGAAACGTTATTCATCATTTGCAGTGATCCAGCTGGTTTCCTTACTTTAGCACTGAAAAAGCCAGTACAATGGCAGAAGCCTTCGATCCGAAAGGTACAGAAGAAAAAGCATGTGTTGTTTGGGAGAACAGGAAAAACGTGTTTTGTCACTGTTGATGATGACACATTATCATGATTATGTTATGTTGGGGGGGGTCTTGGGGCCGTCATCCATCTACTGAATGTGTACTATCTAGTAGTGTGCATTTACATATAGTTTGGGAACTGGTTACCCGATTCCCATAGGGGGATACCCATAATTATTGTGAAGATCAGAGGAAAGTAAAGATTTTTTAACTCGTCCACACCCCCACTTTACTACGAAGCTGCTGTTGGCCATGGAAATTGTCGGTATTAATCAAAGGGCATCGCTTTTCCTGAGTGTCACAATAATGTAAACATTTATTGTCATCTCCAGAGTAGATGACGGGAAATTGTCGCGACATGGTCTCAAAAGATGTGTTATTCATTTTTTCTCCAATAGTTCTCCGGAAAGTAATTAATAGAAAAGGGTTCATGCCTTTCTGAAATGCTGGATCAAAATCTAGCAAAGTAGTGGTGTGTATTAAGTTTGACAACATGGAATTGGGTACCTGTAATCAACAGCCAGGTTTCGGTTACCCAGAGTCATAAGTACACTTTAAGCACTCTTTACTGGGAAGAGAACTGGAAGTTCTCTGCATTTTCCCAACAAATTTCAAACCAAATGTTTAACCAGGAATAGCATGTTAATAGATTGAACCTCATCTGTAATCTGTACCTTGTGTCTGGTTGATCAGGTGCATACAGATTAGTGCAATGTACAGGTAAACCTATATCATGAGTTGCATACAATACTATTGAATGCATATAAAGGTTGTTTGGAAAAAAGGTATTTGAAGAAGTGTTTGGTTTCCTCTACATTTCCTCTCCAGAGCACCAGCACACACGTTATAACCCACTGAAGGATGAACGGGTTCTGGTGTCTCCGCATCGGATGAAGAGGCCCTGGAAGGGACAGGTGGAGAAAGTCCCAGATGAGAACATCCCCCGGCATGACCCCAGGAATCCTCTGTGCCCCGGGGCCACACGGGCACATGGAGATGTAAGTGGGACTTCAAATCATGAAACAGTGTCACTTAGTTCACCCGAATAAGGAATACTAGGACTTCAATACATGTATAATGCCACAGCCCCAGCTTGCTATGTTACATGTTCTCCACTGATTCCCCAAAATCCAATTCATGGTTGATGCTGAATCCAAGCCCAAGGATGGATTCAGAGGGCCAGTGCTCCCCCCCCCAGAAGAGCCAATTGTTTTATTTAAATAATGAGAGAAAGGCAATTTCTTTTGGGGAGGGCTTGTGTTTCATTTATCTTCCTTCCAAAAGCATGTAACAAGCCTCCAAATATAGGCTCAACTTTCAAAAAGACCATAAAGTCCACATTTTTGGCCCCTAAAAAAAGATAAGAAACGATTTGTGTCCTGGATCCACCCTTGTGCAAGCCTGAATTACTTCTCATGGAACTTTACACACCAGTTTTGATAAAGGAGGATAAATTCATGTATGTGATTCAGAGGATTTAAAAAGGCTGATCCTTAGAACAAAAATGCCATTAGAATAAGCATTGATAATTTAATGTTCGTACCAAGGCAAATATCGCAAAATAATCGTTTAATGGCTGGTCCAACTGCAGTAGTGTAGTTCAGGATCTTCCCAAGTGCACATTGGATTGTTTTTAAAGAGTTTGGGCGTGATGCTACAGTTGGGCGTAGGGATCAATTGATCATCAGATCGGACATCAGATCGGGCCGATGTTCAGCAACATCAGCAAAACATCGCATCGGTAAAATTTGACCTTCCTTGCCGATATGAGTGCCAGTGTTTACTTGGAGAAAGGCGCAAGCTCCATGCTCAGTTTTTGCAAACAGAAATCTCATATTTTTTTATTTGATCATGAATACCAACTGTGCTTTTTTTCATTTGGTGTGATAAATGAATGGTCATACCATGGTTAAAACCAGGTAAAGTATCCCCAAAAATAACACCTGTGCGATCCATGCCACAACAACGCAATGCACGGACCACGGCCCCGTGGAGCAGTCAGATTTTCCTATTAAAACTTCAGACATTGGATCTGCAGTTAAAACCAACATCAGTTGATCCCTAGTTGGGCGTAACAATAACAATAGTCAGTTGCTTTTCTTTTTTTCTTAGGTGGAGGAAATTATTTAGGCTATCATGTAATTAACTCTGCTCAAATATTTGGTGGAGGAATGCTCCTTTTTAAAACTGTTTTTTTCTCTGTCTTCAGTTGAATCCCGATTATACCAGTACGTTTGTCTTTGAGAATGACTTTCTAGCAATGTTGCAGGCTGGAGCTCCAGAACCAGGTCAGGTGAAAGACTAATCACTGTCGCCATCCAATCCAATAATGACTGAAAGAATCCTGATGAATTTCTTGGCAGCTGAATGGAGGCAGTTGCAGGAACAGTAAAGCCACTTTCCTTAATACATGTAATACTGAAAGAAGTCACAGAAAGATTTTTCTGTCATACCCCATCCATAAAAGGTCAAGAGCAGAAAAGGCTGAAAACAAAACCATCCAGCCATGTTTAAGTTGCTGTGAACGGGTTAAACGGGCCTAAGGGCCTAAAATACTGTAAGTCTGTGTCCCCACTAAAGCAGTGCATTTCAACAGATCGCGAAGTAAAAGCAGACTCCCCCCCAAAAAAAATTTCCAGGGATGGGGGGTTGCCACTGCATTTTGGTTGGATTTATCCATAGCATAATGATCCATGCTGGCTTCAGAATGACCAACTTGACAAGGCTCTGTTTCATCTGCCATTCACAGGGCCAAGTGAGCACCCACTTTTTCAGGCAAAAGCTGCTGTTGGCACATGGTAAACAGTGTGAAATTTTCTAGTTGATTGAAAATATGTCAAAAAATTGCCATTGTAGTCTGTTCTTGAAAGAAACTTTTTCAGTAGGTTCTTACTGCTTTGGTTCTGAAATGTGGTTGTTCTGACATATTCAAGCAAATACATGTAACTTAATCTGTAAACATGGGCAGTACTCAATAGCATAATATTGCAGCAAGAAAATTACATGTACATTAGATAACAGCATTCACAAAGAAATACTGTGAATCTCCTCATAGATTTTCCATTTGATAAGGAAGATTAGATTAGATGCCAACAAAAAGTTGACAGCACAGATTGAACTGATGAAAAATCATTTTTTTAATTGTCTACAAGTCAAGTGATGTGCTTCCATCCCTGGTCTGACATCACACTTCCACTGATGTCGGTGAAGGAGATCACGGCTGTCGTCAACAAGTGGGCCGAGATGGTCACCGATTTGGGGTCAAAGTTCAGATGGGTTCAGGTAAGAAGGGTTAAAAAATGGTTTGGTAGTTATACACAGGCACTTCATTCAAGTTGGCAGTTTAGAGGAGGATGGGTGTAATGGAATAGAAGCAGGTTACATAAAAGGAGAGAAGTCTTTTGAAAGGAGACTATGCATCACTAACTGTTGATCATTTCAAGGGATGGAAACATTTTAAAGGTCCAGGGTGCAATGTGCACTCCCATATCACAAGAGACAGTGAACCATGGCTGTTGGTGGAGTTTTGCATTGGAGAGAGGCATACCCTCATCATTTGAAGTGTGTAGTATTGTCATAGATTTTGGAACATTTTAAGCTTTATGGCTTAGATTCAGCAAATGAAGTTCAGCTGGCACTGACACAAGTGTTTATTTGTGGTTATTGTGCAGATATTTGAGAACAAAGGTGCTGTCATGGGCTGTTCCAATCCCCATCCACACTGCCAGGTCAGTTTAGTTCTGGAAACGGGCATTTTTCTTCAAGAAGGTAACAGCAGCCGTTTCTTGACTCTTTTTTCAGTTTTCAGTCTGTCAGTAAACTTTATGGGGAAAATATGTTTGTGTAGGTATGGTGCAGCAACTTTATACCCAATGAGCCCAGGGTGAAAGACAAGAACCAGAGGGAGTACTACAAGACACATGGAACACCCATGCTGGTTGAATATGCCAAGATAGAGGCAGAAAAGAAGGTGAGTTACTTGATCGACTTCCCTCCCCCCCAGTTAAAGTTTTTGACTCTCTCCAAACTTCTTCTAGTCCTTTGGCTGTAAAAGATTTGAAGTGAAGTCATACAAAATGTGGAAGTTTAAATGTGCTTTTCAGTGAGAAGGCGTTTGAATTGTTAACCTGCTTTTCAGGAACGGATAGTTGTAGAAAATGACACCTGGCTAGCTGTTGTGCCTTACTGGGCTGTGTGGCCATTTGAAACTATGCTGTTACCGCGGCGACATGTACTCAGAGTGCCAGATCTCACAGAAAAAGAGCGAGAAGGTGAAATAATCTAAAATTGATAATTTTGAGTTGTAATTTATTGTGGAGTTTTGAAATAATTTTGTACTGTTCCAAGAAACTCTGTGGTCTACAGAAGCCTTATTACAAT